TTTCAATTTTTTCTTGCCTCATGGATTCTTTTTCTATTTGGGGAGGGGGTCTTCCTTCACTGCTTTAATACTATCTGGCACTGTCCTTTTGGGGTATACTTCTAAGAGGCAGGATGCAAGCTTGGCACTTATTTTTTTTATTGCTTTTCTGGGGGCGCATGTGACCTTTCCTTAAATCTGGGTGATTTCCTTAGGATATCTTGTGAGGTGAGTGAGACCAGCTGGTATTTTTAAGTGTTCAAATGGATCTAAGGATTGCTTCTCCTGGGTGTGCTTCTTTCTGGAGAGCTTAAATGACCTCTCTGCTAAAGGGTTTCACTTTATGAGCAAGAGTTGGCTGCTTGATAGTTATCACTGCATTTTAAATATTCCCACCCCAGTCACATGACCAACAAGTCACACCCACAAATTAGGCCATGCCCACAGAACCGGTTGTTAAGAAATTTGAATCCCACCCCTGCCTAGGACACTGCAATTGTCATACGTATGAGCCAATTGCAAAGCATCCAAATTTGGGTCATGTGACCATGGTAAGCTGCAATGATAAGTAAGTATGAAAAAATGGTTATAACTCACTTTTTCAGTGCTTCGAATGGTCACTAAATGAAATTGAGGGCTACTTGAAATCCAAAGAGTGGCCTGACTTATCTCATGTCAAAGGCCTGAGCAAACAACTTGGTCTTCAAAGACCTTTGAAACATAAGCAGGATGTGGGCTGGATATTTGAGGAAACCTCATTCCAGAGGGCAGGCAGGCACGGCTATAGGGAAAGTGCAATTCTGAGATGCCAAAAGACAGTGTTTTTTTTAATCACAGGAATTAGCCAGGGAGATACTATAAGTGACATACGGTCCCTCAACAAACAGCTGGGTCCTATGAAATGTAGGACTTTATATCTAATGGCCAGCATCTTATATCTCATCCAGAAACAAACCAGATACCAGTATAGCTAGGGAATCAGAGGTGTTATATGATCATACTGAATTATGCCCTTCACAGTCCACACTGTTGCATTCTGGACCAACTAAGGCTTGTGGGTGGTCTTCAAGGGGCACTCCACCAAGAGCACATTGCAATAGTTAAGCCTTTCGTCTTTTCTCCTTGTAGGAGGTTTCTTACTCCATTCAAACCCCCAAGGTTTGTTTTTCTTCCACCAGGTAAGTGGGCCCCAGCCTTCCATCATTTTTATTTTCTAACAAATATGAGATCATCTGGATTGTAGAGGAATTCTTAGTACCAAAGATAATGCTTATTGGGGTCCCTAGGTTTAGTAGGAAGATCCAGTACACATAAGGATGTTAGGTTGGGGCCAGCATACACAGTGTTTGTGCCAATCTTACTTTATTCAGAACAGAGCATGAAGAGAGATTAAGGTGGGGATGGGGAAACTGTAGCCCTTTGATGTTCTGTTAACATGGTCAGTAAACATTAGGAATCATGGAACAGAAACATCTGGTTGGTTACGGTTATTTACATCTCATTTAAAAGTTACAGTTATTTACATTTCATTTAAAAGATTAAGCAATTCTTGTCTTGATCTCTCAGTCTTGATTTCTCCACACGTACCTACAATCATATATGATTTGGTTGATTACCCAGTTTTATGGTTTATATCAGGGGTCCCCAACCCTTGATCTGTAGCCCTGTGCTGGGCCGCAGGCCGTTCAGAACCAAGGCCACAGAGGTGGTGGGCAAGTGTGTGCACATGTGAAACTCTTCCCCCACCCCACTCTGCTGGTCCACCAAGCTGGAAAAATTGGAGACCACGGGTTTAGATAACAGTTCTTTCTCTTTATGCTAAAACAAAGGCGGATTAATTCCACTCAGCAACTAGGTGGGAAGCATAAAGATTTCATACCATGCTATTTTATGCATCTGACTCTTTTTCTTTCTCTCTTTCCCAATTAATTCTTTCTATATATTAAGGTCCAATATTATTATCAACAATATATGTGCTACTTTTGCATATAGAACAAATAGAAGTGACCTGAAATGTAAAAACTGCAAGAAGTCTTAAAAAACAGAACCCACCAAAATACTATATGTAGCTGTTTTAAAAATGCATTGCTTTTTTACTAACTGATTTTCTATCGTGCTGAGAAAAAACAAGATTTGAAATTTGCTCCATCTCTTGATCTGGACTTCCTCATAAGGAATTTATTTTTGGGTTATTTTTTACTGTTCATTCTTTGTCCCAGATCAATACATAGTCAAAACAAAGCTTCTATTCATTGTTTTGGATTTATGAGTATTTGTTTTTGTGTGTGACTAAACACTATCGGCAAAGAAACTTTCCAAGTTCACAAAGTTCACAAAGAAATTTGATAAAGGTTTCATATGTGAACTATTTCTTCCTGAGTTTTTTTCTTAATTATTTTCCTCGTGTTTCTTTTGCATTCATTGTCTGCAGTGCAATGCTTTATTGCTCAGCCTTGAGATGTCTTACAGAACTTAAATAAACAAAACATTCAGAGATATAGACCAATATTATTTGCTGAAGTTGCTAATTCCTGCTGATTCTTGTGGATTTGCACTGACATTTTATTTATAGTTGATAAATGCAGCATAGAGTATACCCATCCTGTATGCTCAGTTTTAAGTTATGAGCAAAGCATGGTCCTTTGTATTGACAAAGATTACCAACACTTAGTTTATTGACTAGCTTTTTAAAGTTTAATGAAAAACTACATTTACTCAAGGTTCAATGTCCTTGTGATGGCTCAGCAGCTAAAGAAAGCTGGAGAGCTGACAGCCCAGGTTCGAGACTCGCACAATGTTACTTGCCCCAGCTCCTGCCCACCTAGCCTAGTTCAAAAGCATGCAAATGTGAGTAGATTAATAGGTACCACTTCAATGGGAAGGTAACAGTGTTCTGCCTGCCTTTGGTATATAGCTATGTTGGCCACATGAACATGGAAAGGGTCTTCAGACAACACTGGCTTCCATGGCTAAGAAATTGAGATAGGCACCATGCCCTAGAGTTGTACACAAGTGACAAGGAAACCTTTACCTTTTTACCAATGTCCTCGATTATCTCTTGTTGAAATTTCCCCATTTATTCAAGATTTTCAGTGCTTTGAAAACAGAGGCCTCTCATGTGTCTTGGTTCTAAAATATCACAGTATGACAAAAAATTTATAAAACATGTTTGATCATTGAAATACATTTCAAATTTATAGAATTGCATATAAACAATGATTCACAGTAGTTATGAACTGAATTACAAATATTCACAATAAAAACGCATACATAATTTTCGTTTGATCTGTGTGAGAAAAGTGATATGGAAATGTGTTAGGTAGCTAAGCTTACACAGTCACAATGTTTTATATAACATGGTTATTCCTTTTGATGTAATTTTATTTATTTTAATCTCACAAAAACAATTAAAATCATTTTGGAGTTGGAAAGCCCAGAAAACTGATAAACAGACTTTATACATGAAATCAATAAGTAATATAAATTTCAGGTAGTACAAAAAGCGAAAGGTAAATGTGTTTCAGTTCCTTTATTTGATCAAGAAATATGGGTCAGACTTACTGGAGCTGAAGTGACCACCATGTTTCATCTGCTGCTTTGATTGATGTGTTTATGACACAGGAAATGACATATAAAGCAATTAAAGAATGTCAATAATATTATGGTTAAATGAGGGGCCAGGCACTAAAATGACTCAGACTGGTAAGCCTATGTTTGACACAGGCTTTATGTCATTGACAGAAAGTCACATATTGGTATCAGAGCCAAAGATGATCATATTCAGGGGCAACTGTCATTACAAGCTGCTGTTTTGGGGGGATTGTAACTTAGGAGTTTCCCAGGTCCCTGAGTTGTAGTGTTCTTTTCCAAATCATCATCATATTAGTTCCTTGCTTCTAATGCTTCCCACCAGTTGACTTTCATGATTGTTTAAAAATGCCCATATAGATGCCAGAAAACAGAAGAATGCTGAAAATAAATTTATACGATACTCAACTTTTTGCATATTACAGAACTGCAACCTACTGAGCAGTATTCTGTCTGCATATTTATATTCAATGACTTTGCAACAGCTTGTGGTTTCAAAAATATGTTCCTGCTGTTACTGTCTTCAGCGTTTGAGAGTGTTTTATCTCAAAATGGAACAACTGGACTTAACAGCCTTAGCTAAGCAGAACTATGAGTGGGAGGAAGGGAAAAGAAATGATACTCCTAGGTCTTTGTGTCTGGATGAAAGCCAGACTGTCTGCTTAATCCAGGATCATATTAGCCAATCACTTCCTTTTTACCCAGTAGTTGCTAGTAACGTGCTCTAACAGGAATGAGGTCTGTAATATTCTGGGAGAAGTATTATCTTGTTTCTTCATGGCACAGCTTCATGAAAAATTGCCACTTTTCAGAATACAGTTGAGGGAGGGAGGAACAGGGGATTTATTTGCAATAAGAATATGAAGAGAAGAAAAGGCTAAACCTCCCCCCCCGCCCCGCCCCCCACACATACCTGTTATTATAATCCCCATCCTGGATTTCTCTCATAGTTGCAGATGTTTTTTTCTTCATTTCTTTTAGGAAAGTCTGTTATATTTTGCCTAATATTTTGGCCTAGTTCTTTCTACCTTCATGAGCAGTAGCATTAAGATTCCTGCCCACCCTTGAGAGGTAGGAGCAGACAGCAAAACCGGATTTCCAGGGCCAAGTACATTCATGCTTTGTCTGGATGTTAACCATTAAAAAAATATCCTGAATCTTCTTGGGGGGGGGGGGGGGGGAACCAGGCAAAAAGTCTGTTTATCCCCCCAAAAAACTCTTCTGGTAAATGGGGAGAGCTGATAAGTAGGGATTCTATAGCAGTAACCCAGATCCGGGGCATGCACAAAACCCATTGCTGGAAGAGACTCTCAAGATCAATTTACACTCCTTGTTTGGGGGAAAAAGGGAGGCGGCTAATCCGAAAAGACAGCCTGAAATTAGTCAGAAGGGCTGCTCATCCTACCTCCCACATACTGAAAAGCCTATTACAGAGAAAGTGTTTCCTGGAAGAGAAGTGCAAGATAATTTCACAGGAAGATCATCAACTTGCTTTGAACCGGAAGCTCTGCTTTTGATCCTTGCCAGGAGAATACCTTGGAATCCCAAGGTTTTCTGCACAGCATAAAGGAGCAACTTCAGAGCAGTGTATTCAGATCCTCCTCCCCCACCCCCCGCCAGCGTGTCTATTGAAAAGTCTGGGAATAAGATCAGATTTTGTTTCTCCCGTTGTCTTTTCTCTCCCCGTCCCCTCTACCCCACCCCAGGCCCTGCCTTCTGGAAGAAACAAACACCGAAGTCTTCCTGGAATATTGCGATAACTTTGCGGACCTTTTTCAGCCCTGCAAGCAATTTGGTGGTAAGGCAATAGCGATGTTCTTTTCATGTTATTTCTCTGGCTGGATATGCATTGTTGCCAGATGAGTGTCAGATGTCAGATTTATTGATGTTGTCGAAGTCTGCTTTTGTGTACTGAGCGCAAAATTAAAACGGCAATGTAATTTAGCTGGAAGGATACTTGAGCATGGACAGTGAGTAGTGCCTTTCACGGACACAAACTTTTAAAGCAACTAAACACAAACAATTGGCAATGTTAATAGGCATATATTTCTATAGACAAATGGGGGGGGGGAATAAATGTTTTCCTAGTTCAGATTTAGAGTATTTATTTTCTTGGCTCTGCACATCCTCAATTGTCTGCAACATCATTTACAAGAGATTTCCCTGGGATTCCCTCTTGTTTATTTTAATGCAGAATTCCATCCCAAGTTAAGGAGATGATATTATGAAGATCTTATGTACTGAAGAAGCTTTTCAAAGCAATCTACAAAGGGAAGGGATTTATTCAAGTACATATATGTATGAAGAATGAATGAAAGTATGAAAAACCAAGGAAGAATGCAATAGTTAATCAGCCAATATTTTTATGAAACAAGTTTTAGTACAGTTGGTGATAGCTTTTGTCTATGCCATTTGTATAAAAGAAAGCTGGTGATAAATTTAAAAAAATCTCAAACTGGAGGGAAAAGAGTAGGTTTTATGTTGCAATTCTTAGGTATAACTATATCATAAAAGTTCAATGAAATGTACTTGACAGTTTGAGAGAAGTTACACTTGGTAGAAATTACAGTATTTTAGTTGTTAACGAGTGTAAGGAAAAGGGAAGAGAGGATGTCTATACTGAAAGATGGGTACTGATTTATCAGGCACATATTAAGAAGGTGGTCTTGACTTATAAAACTCAAAGAAGCTTAGGTTTCTGTGAAGTCACTTCTCCCATTTTGCACCTGTCTGGTTGATATGATTGGCAGAAGAAGCTCTGTTGCTTCTGATGGTCAGAGGCCTGTTCTTTTAGCATGCAAGAGAAGATCTATTGCTCTTAGCTACAGAAGACCCCACTCCCTTGGAAGCTGGGTTTGCCCTTCTTAGTATTTGGAGTCCTATACAGGTATATCTCTTTGCCAAGCTTAGAATTGTTAGATCATTTTATTACTTACTATTATAATTGCTATTCATGTTAATTTTAATCTATAATCCTAACTGTTTTTATATATTGCTTTTGTCTTAAATTGGGCTAGATGCCTTGAGTCCTTCAGACCCAGAAGAGAAAGTAATTAATAAATAAAAGTAAACATGTCTTGCCACAGCCAAAAGGTCACTATCTCATTTAATCCCCCATTGATTTTGAATCCCTTCAGATTAATAGCCTTGAATTTACTTATTAGAAATACAGAGTTGCTTTTCTTCCTAGCATCCTCCTCCTCTCATTGTCTTCCTCATTCCTCCTATTATTGTCTCTGGGAAAAATCAAAAGTCAGTTTGGCATTGTGGTGAAGGTCCAGAAACACTCTGAGAATACTCTGAGTACTAGTTACACTTTAGGCATGAAAGCCAGCTAGGTGACTTTGGGCCAGTCTCTTTATTACCTGACAGGATTGTTGTGGTCAAAATAGGAGGGTGGAGTACTATGTATGTTCCCCACCTTGAGTTATTTATAAAAAATGATAAAGGCAAGATAAAAACAAACAAATGTTGTAAATAACTAGAAGAAATAAAAATAGGAGATCTTGTGGGTGTGCCTAGGGAAGAAAAAAGCTGACGAAAGTATGTAAATCATGTCATTTGCATAATGATATCATACTCATATATGGATGTCTATTAAGTTACTCCTAAATTTTAACATGTATGTCTTATGAAAGTTGCTTTTGCAAACAACCTTGAACATAGCATGCAATAAATATCCCTTGGGTAACAAATTTCCTTTATTTGATTTTTAAAAAAGGATTTCCTTTGGTTCAAAGAGTTATTCTCAGTAATTTATTTTTTTTAAAGGAAGGGCTAAGAAATGCTCTTTGAAGCTCTAAAGATGTCACACACATGGGCAACATGAGCTATGCAATTTCCTGTGACATTTCTGCACAAAATAGAAAATATATAGAATTATAATATGATCCATTCAAATCTAAAGCTAATTCCCACTCTTGGTTTTCTCTACCTCATTCTAGAGTTTGATTTAAAACTGCCAGCAGAGCTTTCTTTTATAATTGTCTATGGTATCCTGTCAAAATCTCTCTAAGTATCAACATCTGCACGCAATTTTCCTAACTTCTTTAGAAAGATCATATTTATTTAAAACTTTATCTCTCTAAAGAAATGAAACACTTGCACAAATACTGCTTTCCAGAATTCAAATATTTGTCCTGCATGAAATAAAAACTCCCTAAAGAATGCTGCCGTTTTTAAAGTCAGTCTAATATTTAACTGGCATTAATGCAAGATGCATTACTAGCCAACTCACATTTTAAATCAAAGACTGTTTTCTCATTGTTTTATTTTCTGCAGACTAATTCCTACTTCAAAATGTAGTGGTAAGTTATCTGTGTGATTGGGTCACCACTGATAAGCCTTATTGTTTCACAAAATAAAGATTGTTTCATATTACTAATTAGTTACTTTTTCATGTGCCATTATACATTATCCTGTGTCATGATATGGTACTCAACTATGGTACTCAACTATGGAGACACTGAGTATCGTAGAAATTTATATGAACTATAGTTTTTGGTTTAACGATAGACCTACCAATATAAATATACCATTGACGTAGATATGGATATAGCTATTGATATAGATATAATATAGATATAGAAAGCCCTAATGATAGACCGTTGTCCTGAGAGATTCTGTCATATGGATATATTATTACTTGTCGTATTTGACTGAGACAGTCCTGGTTAAAATGGAAACAAGCTTCAGGTTTAGGTTCTTCCTCAATGAGCTCAATCGGAACAGTTTGTTTTTAAAATTCTGAATCTGTATGATTCTCTCAAAGAGATCAACCAGATCTCTTTACTTGAAAGTCAGTAATACCACTGAATTGAAGCAGAGGTGATATTCATCAGGTTCTGACCAGTTCTGGAGAACCGGTAGCAGAAATTTTGAGTAGTTCGGAGAACCGGCAAATACCACCTCTGACTGGAGATTTTACAGTATCCTTCCCCTGCCATGCTCACCAAGCCATGCCCACAGAACTGGTAGTAAAATTTTTTGAATCCCACCATTGAATTGAAGGATACTTTTTTTAAATAGACATGACTGGTGGTGTGTGAAGTGAATTCTTGATAACTTGTGCTTCTGTGGTCCTGCCTTCCTATACATAGGTTTGGGGTATAGTGAGTTAAGTATATCTAGTTCAATTTTAACTCTTTTTGGTTGCCAGCAATTTTCTAACATTTTATGCAAGAGTTTTTCCATTCTTACGCTGGAGATGAAAATTAAAGCCTAAGTCTTCTGCAGGCAAGGCATTCAGTTCTGCCATTGAACTTCCATTGAGTTCATTAGACATTTTGCTTGCATGTGGACAAGATATATACATCAGGGCATGAGCAAAAGTTTCACACACAAACACACATAAATTGTGTTTAAATGCTAGTCAGAGATTGTGTCAAATGCACATGGGAATAGTGGGGAACAATCCCAATTTATATTCCAAGTTTGCATTCAGTTTGGTTATATATATATATGGTCTTATCTCTTGTGACTAATGAACACAAGTGTATTAAAAGACAGGGGACTTTTGCTAAACCACAGAAACGTTTTTTCTAATAATAAAAGATTACCACTAAAGTTATGACATCTTTTCTTCTTTGACAGCTATCTTTAAAAATCTTTCATTTAAATTGTATTCTTAATAACTTCAGACTTTTATCTCTTTTCGGTTTTTCATTCCATCCTTCCTGTTGTTCCACAGCCACAAAAGTGACTCATTCAAAGTGACAGCCCAGGAAATTGAACAGAAAAACATAAGGCTTTTGAAGCTCAAAATCAACCTAGGAACTTTTCTTTGTTTCTGTTTTTTATTCTATCCATTAGGAACACGCATAATTAAAATAACTAAAGATGTACTTAGTCAAACAAATAAACAAAAATATTTTAAGGATCTGGGCAAAGCTAAAGAAAAGATTGTTACAGGTTTGAGAAAGCTAAATAACAAAGGAGTATTTATTGCTAAGATAGACTGTTTCATGCATTCCTAACAGTTGAATGTATCTGTAAATGTATCTATTAATCACTCATCTATTTCACATTTTGGGGGGTTTCAACCCAGACTGCAATAAGAAGATTGTTCATACCTCGTGCATTTGAAAGGAGTTGGGTGAAAAGTGTTGCCTTGATTTTTCCAAATGCCTACAACCAAATACACATATATGTAGTCCTTGATTTACAACCGCAATTGAACCTAACATTTCTGTTGCTAAGTGAGAGTTGTTAAGTGAATTTTGCCCCATTATATGACCTTTCTTGCCATAGTTGTTAAGTGAATCACTATAGTTTGTGACATGGTTGTTAAGTGAATCTGGCTTTCCCGTTGACTTTGCTTGTCAGGTCACAAAAGGTGATCATATGACCCTGGTACAAAGCAATTGTCATAAATATGAGTCAGTTGGCAAGCATCTGAATTTTGATCATGTGACTATGGGGATGCTGCAACAATTATAAGAGTGAACAATGGTCATAAGTCACTTTTTGAATGCTATTGTAACTTTGAATGGTCACTAAGTGAGCTGTTACAAGTCAAGGACTACCTGTATCAACTCCTTCAGAATTTAAGATACCTTCCAAAAGACTGATGTAAAGGGGAGCCAGGCATGTATAATCTGATAAGCCAGAACTATATTAACATTTGGGTGGTCGGTCTATCTGTGTTTTCAGTTTTTTAAAAATGGCAAACTTGTGTTGCTTTATCTGAATAGCTTCAGTGTGGCTCTCTGTTGTGTAATTCAAGCTAAGACAGCATTGATCCCTAGCAATTTTATTTTCTAAAAAGAACATGGATACAAATATGCTGAAATTCTACCATAAAGGACATGGAAGATCGCTGCACAAATGCAGAAGGTGTTCAGGATTAAGGTCTAAAACTGTGGCCCGCTTATTAAATATTTCTAAAGACAGCAAGCATGTGGATAATTATTTTCCCAATTTGTTTTTAAATTGGATCAAGACATACAGTTCAGAATATAGTTTTACTTGGTATTCTTTATCTTGATTCTTTCCTTTGAAAATATAAGCAGGAAGAGATCATCTGAAATTGGTGACGGTTTGTAAAAGCAAAGAACCAAAAAGCTACTTTGGGTTCGGCTTGGTTTTGATGTGAGCAAAGTCATGTTCCTAAATCTCCCACCTCTCAATGCATTTTTCCCACTCCTTATTTTATACCAAGTCTTTATGCTGAAACTGGGTGGGTTGTGAATTGCATTAATCATCTGTGAATAAGATTTCTGATCTAAAACAGCCAACAACTGTCTGTGGAGATTTTCAGTCATCCAGATCATGGTTGTCTAAGGGGGGCAGGAAAGGATATTATTTCTCATATTCTTTCTGGGTTTTGAAAGATTATAACATCTGCAGAGCACATTAACCTTAATTTAGTTGGAGATCTGAATGCACAAGTCCTGTGTGTTTTCCCTTTGTCAGTTTTTCAGCATTACCAGGTTGTATAGTTCATGTGAAGACAGAAAACTAATAGAGGAAAACTGGCTTCTGTTTTTCTTTTTATCAAGCACAAATTTGAAAAAAACATGTTTTAAAATTACTCAGTGAAGGAGTGTTAGCCCAAGTTTAATTTTTAACAATGGGTTACATAAAATGAAGAAGAAGGGAACCACAAAGTATAATTAATCTTTGGAAGTTTCAGTCCCTGCTTCTGCATCTCTCAGATGGTGCAATATATAGATCAAGTATCTGAGATTGGGAAACAAATGAAAGATTTAAAACAAAACATAGGTACTCTGTACACTGAAACAGGAAATTATAAATATAATTTTCAGGAATTTCCATCCTCCCCCCCCCCCCCCCCAAAAGAAAAAATTCCTTTTGCTCCATTTCCCATAATAAGATTGCATTTAAAACGTTTGATTTATTACTCACCTTTTACATGAAGAGTGATTTTTTTAACTTTACTTAAGAAAGAAGCTTTACATGAAACCTAGTTTCAGGTTGAACCTACTACCGCATTAATATTGCATAAGCACTTCACATTATTTGCTGCTTACTAATGTCATATCATTATATACTACTGGCTTCGACAAGACAGGCTGATGTTGATCTCTACAATCCTTCTTTCCTAATCCTGAATCTCCCAAGGAATTTCTTGCAATACAGATTGAAGCTCTGATTTAATATCAAACTATTGAATAATAAGATATAACATTAATAATTGGCTTGAACTATTTCCAAATTAAGTGCTTAGGAATATTTGTTAGAGAACATTTTTTGTGGAAATTTGCCCTGACTCACTTAAATCCACATAACAGGTTTCTCTGAAATGGGAAAGGATTTTACATTACACTAGTTCAATCTGGCTTGTGTGGTCTAGATATTTAATATTCAATATTAATTTTGTGACTAGATTAGATTTTCAGGAACCAATGAGCAGATTTAAGATAATAAAACTTTTGAAGAAAAAAGAAAAAAATAGCAATATTTTCATAAAAATCAATATTATAATTTCACTGGGGGCAATTCTGCCATTGATGGTAATTTACTTTCTCTTCTGGAGCTGTGCCCCTGTGTTCTCAATGACATGGAACAGATTTTGAAGGTATACTTTCAAGAAGAAAGGAGGAAAAAATGTACCTTTTCATGTAATTTCACTTCTAGGCTTTGTTAAAAACAATTTCATCTATATGTTAACAGGCTACAGATTTGTAGATAGTGCATTTCAAAAAATCTTTCAAAATCTCCATGTTCTGCCATCAAACAATGCAGTGTTTTGCAAATTATGGAGAAAATCCATTCAACATGATAATTTGGTCAAAGCTGGGCAAAATTAAGTGTTATTGAACATATAAAGTTGCATTTAGTGAGATGGGTGGTTATATAAATGTGATTAATAAATGTATAATATGTGTTACGGGTAATACATAATTGAACATAATAACATACTAGTATTAAAGTTCCAAAGAGATAAAAATCTTAGTATGCTTCTAGCAAATTTGCAAAAATATCCAATTAAAAAAGAGATACTCAATCTTAATCTAATAACCAATATTATTGGATTCCTTGAAAAAAAAAAAAAGAAATGTTCTGTTTCGCTCCTTCCAAATTGAACTTAATTCTTTCTATTAGAAAATGTATTCATAGAGCATATCAGTATCTCAGAAATGTTTTATGTTGACTCTAAACTTTTTCATTATTAAAGAGATTGTTTTTTTTAAGCATATAGGAGACAGACAGTCTCTCCATTATTTAAGCATGATTATTTCTTGTCTCTTGAAGTATGACCAAGGTTACAGATAAAGGTTTCATGAAGACAAATAAAGCACTAGGAAACCTGGTTAAAGATAAGCATTTTTGTTTTGTCCTGTTGATGGGTGGGGGAAGAGAAAAGGAGCAGAGACTTGTCTTCACGTACTTTTGTGGAACAGATAGAATGTGGTTTCTGAAATACTAAAACCATGTGAAAGTATGTCAGATTCCTAGAAAAAACATATTTTAAGTCAGATACTTTCACAGACCTCTAAAGCAGGATCCCCAACCAGGGGTGGGATTCTACCAGTTCGGACTGGTTTGGGCAAACTGGATGTTAAAGTTACATCTGGTTTGCCGAACCGGTATTTGAACCGACCGGGTAGCCCTGCCCCACCTCTCCCAGGAGTTTACATGCTTACCATTTTTGATGGAGGTAAGCGCAGGGTCCGCATGGAGTCTCTGGGAGGGGGAAAATGGGCCTTCTGGAAGTCCAGAAATGGACCTGTTTCCGGCTTCTGGTGAGCTTCTTGCTGCTGGTTGTCCTCTGCTTCCCTTTTCTAGCTTCATGGATTTATCCAAAGAGCTATGTTTTATCAGAACATGTCCAAAATAGGGATCTTTTGTGCCTCAAGTTAGAATTCTGAATTTGCTTGTTTGTTGATTCATTTGTTTATCTATGGTATTCAATGGAGTCTTCTCCAACACCAAGTCTAAAAGTCTCAATATTTTTTCTGTTGTGCCTCTTCGAAGTTCTTCTTTCTTTTTGACAGAATCTCACATTGCCTGCACAATTCTGATCTTTGCAAGGATGGAGGCATCCATGATTTCCCCCCCCCCCCAAGCTTACTCTATGAAGTGCTCGTCTGGGCTATATTTCATAACTGCTGATTCATTTATACTTTTTAGTTGACCCTAAAAAGCAGAAGCTGTCCATTCTGTCTTCATTGCCAATTAAGATATATGGCCACCCATCTTAAGCACCTTTGTGGCTTGCAATAAGCATAAAACTAATTAATAATCATAAAGACAATAATATGTCTGGTTGTTGAATCTGTTGTCATTAATTTGGTCTTTTTTATTTAATCTTACTTTTTCCTTAAATTGAGCTCCTTAATTGATATTAAATAAGTCCCCCTTTGTTTAAGAGAGATGTAAATGTATTAAACAATAGACTACGTTATACATTACTTTGGATGAAAGGCACTGCAGGAACTTAAAACAGAGGTACCATAGGTGAAATAGGAATTAGCAGTGGGGCGGGGAAATTTCATGCCAATGCTTTGCCAACTCCAGGATTAATAGAGAGCACCCAGAATGCATAATTCACCATGAATTAGCAACAATCAGGCCAAATATGAGAAAAAAATAGAGAAGCTGTTGCTAATTCAACCCATTTAATTTGTTAGGATTTACCTCATTTGATTAAATTTCAAAACACATTTCTGTAGACTCAGTATTATTCAGGATAACCAGGGGCAAGCTTTTCAACTTCCCTTCAGGAGGAACAATATTTTGAGTTAAGCTCTACAACTCTTGTGCTCAGGCCTCTGCAGGCCTTTGTATCCAGATCCTTTTTTCTCTTTGCCTGATGGATGATGATGTGAATTGAACTAGAACTCCTAATAAGACCTTTTTTTCCTGGCAGTAGAAGGAAGAATGTTTCAAAGCTCTCTTCTTCCTTGTCTTCTGTACTAACATTTATTTTCTTTTGCTTGTTTAGAAAAGATGAGCGGAAGGAGGATCAATATGTTTGTAACTGCCACCTTGTATCTTCTCTCCCAATTTGTCCTTTGCGATGGGACCGGAGCTTCTGAGAATGAGGAATATGCAGAGATTATTGGTAAGTGCTCTTTTATTCCCACAAAGCTACAGTACAGAGAAATAAAATGTCCCGGTTTAACGGGGCATATTTAAGGCAACTCCTAATTGTGGTTTGCATTTTCAAAATGAATGGGTAATAATATTTTCAGCCCCGATTGAATTCCACTGGTTATCATTCATGAGCCTGGTCTGTCTTAATTTGCAATTAGTCTGCAATTTCATCCATTTATGCGTATAGTTTTGAATGTACTTTTCATAAAATACCCTTTTAGTGGCAAACCTAATTCCAAAGCATATTTTATCTAAAATAAAAGTGTAAATTAATTATGGCAATTTATTTGCAGTATGAAATTCAAAGATAATGTAAATACAGAAGAAATGTTTTAAAAAGGTAACGTTAAAAACAAAGGAGTTTCCATCTTTGGCATTAAAATATAATCTTGCTCACTATTACAATATTTGAAGTTACCCAGACAGTTCCTATTACTATCAAATTTTGTTTGAAAAAATAAAATAAAAGAAAGAACATTACATTAGGTATGAAAAGAAAATAGCTGTCATTTGTATATACCAGGGGCCCAGAGAGTATCTGAAAAGGTATTGTCCATTACTTTACTATTTATTATTTACAAAGCATATATGACAAAAGATAGAGGCCTACTACTCAATTGCTCTGACAATAAACTATATAAACCCCAAAACTTTGTATGGAATGCAAGCTTTAAAAAATTCCAAGGAATACACAGAACTCGATTGTAAGGAAGATCCTGATGTATTAATTATGTTCAATAACCTTTCTCTTGAAAGACACATTTCCTGAAGGGAATGAGTCACAGCCATTGAAACTACCTCTTTCTTGTAAAAGGTAAAAGTCCATAACTTATTAGCATCACTGCTTGGATATTCAGCTTGTCTAGCAGGAAAAGCTTTTAGCAGGCGTGGGTGTTGGGTAGGTGGCAAGTTGTCAAATCAACCTTATGATGGGGACAAAAAAGAGACTCATTTTCTCTCAATGCGACAAGCTGTTTTGCCTTGATAATGCTCATCAACAAGAATAATTTGAATAGAGCCTTGTGATGAACTGTATAAATAGAATATAAATAGAATATATAGACACGAAGCATTTCACTTGGGAGACAACAGAACAATCAGCCACAGGAAAGAGTATTGAATATTTTTCCTGTCAAGTCAGCTTATTATAAATAGGTGATCATTTAGTTATGATTGTAGAATTAAAAGAGTTGTCATATTCTGCAAGGAAATTTGATTTGGGTGGGTGAAAAAAATGCACTTAGCAAAACTTACATGCACGAAGCTCATTTAGTAGGAGTAAGAAATAAGGGGACTCAGTTTGGTGTAGTGATGAAGGTAGTAGCCTAGAAACCAGGAGATTGTGAATTCTAGTCCTACCTTAGGTATAAAGCCAGCTGGGTGACCTTGGGCTATTCACTCCCTCTTAGCCCAACCCACAACCCAGGGTGGTTGTTGTTGGAGAAATAGGAGAAACAAGGAATAGTAGGTATGTTTGCCATTTTGAATTATTTGTAAACAAACAAACATTCTGTGAGTTTTAGTCTTCCTTTATGCCCAAAGCCAGCTAGGTGAGGTTGGATTGATCCCTACCTCTCAATCCAAGGAATAAAGCAACAACAAACTATTTTTAAAACAAGATGGCAACTATCCAGACTGATTTTAAGATATTTATATAATAGAACAATACAACTTTCAATGATAATAAATTCCTTTAATTCTTATTTCAGTACAAAATTATTGAACCTCTTATATGCAACATCATTTTTGAAATATATTCTTCTCCATATTTTATATATCTTTCTTTAAGTATTATTATATATTAATAACTAAGCCCAGTGTAAAATGGGATAAGTACAATGGGGAAAACGAGGAGCAAAACTGAGTGATTTAGCTCCTCAGCTAAATAGGATCTTCTGAGATAAATACGATATTTAGGTTAGGATAGACTAGGCAAGCTAACCAAAACGTTTTTCAGTTCTTCAGAAAAATATTGTATAAAATTTTCCTGCCCCACCTTTCCCATAATTGTGGGAAATGATGAGTTCATTCTATTATATCCAATTTATGGCTATCATTTTAGTTCCTACTGAAATCAGAGTAAAAGTTGGGACATCAATTTCAACAGCAAGAACATTCAACAAGGATAGGCTATATTCTATATTTCTTAGAAGCGGCATTATTCTGAATGTGGGATTTTCCCCAATAAGTCATTTCTTTTTCCCCAAGAACATAAATTGCTCACCCATTAGAACTAATTGCTCACCCATTAGAACTCTTGCTTTGCTCCTGTTCCATTCTGGAAAATCATTCTCTAAGAAAGGGAAGAAGGGAAGAGACAAATGGGTAAAAAAAAACTCTCATCTCTTTTCATAAATTTAATCCTGTCTTGTATTTTAGCCCATCCATGAATAACAGGGATGTTGCTCTTTATGGGCATGAAGTTAATCTCCAAGGCACTGTTGGGTAAACAAACCCATGTAAATGTAAAAATACATTTGCTATCATATTATTTGCTATCATTACCTTGCTTGTTTTGCTTTTTGTGTTTATTTTGTGTTTATTTGCCCTTTTTCTATTAGTCATGGGTAGGCTCTAAAAGAAAAGCAAATAGGAATTTAAACAGGTTAGTGTAACATGTAATTACTGGTCTATCATAAATTCCTACTGAAGAGCAGGACATGAAAGTACCATCTCCACCTTTCAAGTTTTTTTAAAGAAATTTGAAGACAATAAAGAGGTTGACCTACCAATTTTAGCTCTAGTTAGCCAGTGTTTTATTGTGAACAGTCCATTCCCAGACTGCTATTTCTTTAAATTGTCTGCTTTTGTCCATCTCCCCCACAATTCCCCCCACCCCCGCTTACTTTCTTCCTGCCATATTCATTGCAAACATTTTGTATTGCAGTCCTGTGGTTGCTGATGAGGCATCCCAAGCAGCACAGGATATGTTGTGTGTTCCTCTCCAAGGACCACAAGGGCAATCTGACCTACTTACTACCTCCCAGCTGCTGTGGAAACCTTGGGAGAAGTGTGCGTGTACATGTTGTCCTCTTGTTGAAACTAATGTAGTTGAGCTCGTGATAGAGAACTGTCACGTATGGAGGAAAAAGTTCAAATATACTGTTCCACCCTCACTTCTATCCTGCTAAAATGAGCCCAGCAGAGTACAAGACACAGTAATGTGTTTCCTATGGAATTTCTGCAACTCAGCTTGCTAGAAAGATGTCCAAGTCCGGTATATTTTTATTACTGAGGAAATACTGACCTTTTGTATCTCCCATATGTTTAGAAGTCTTTGATTCCAAAAAGGAAATCTCTAATGTTTGAAATAGAAACAAAGACAGCTGCACTTCACGCGGTGTATAAATAATGACCAAAACAATGGAAAAACTAGGATGTTGAGATTTTTTGTCATTCCCAGAGCGGCCAAGAGTAAGCATATTCTATGTGCCTTAAGGGGCCAACAAAACTAGTCTAAATATAGTTTTGGATGAAAGATTAGGAGAGCTTCCATCAAATGGTAAAATTAATTTCCAGTGTTTTGATATATTTGTTCCATTATATTGCTTTTGAATTCTTTGACAAAAATACAAGACCAGGAAATTAAAGAAAATTCTATTTCATACTCACAGATTTTACTATCTGGAGATACCTTAGTGAGGCAGAGGAAAGCTGCTTTCTCTTCTTTTTCTTTCCCTGAACATAAAGCAGAAGGAAACTAAGCGCACCAATCATGCCTACCGTCCCTGTCCTATTGTTGTTGTTTTTTTCTTATAAGTATCTATCTCATGTATTCAAAACTATATTTATTCTTATACCTGTATCTTGTAAGCGATTGACAAATCAAACAAATACTAAAAAAAAAAAAATACAAAGCAGAAGGAAACTAAGATGCCAAGATATGCCAAGAATCAAACAAAAGAACAAATCCTTGGATGAAAAAAACTATTAATTCTCTTCCTTCTATGTAAACTCTTATACTCATAAAAGCTAATGGAAACTTCCAAGTACTGTGTGCAATTGCACCATTTATTGGGAATGTGTTAACTATTAAAAACACCAAATGTGTAAAATAGCAATAGCACTTAGACTTATGTACCGCTTCACCGTGCTTTATAAGCCTATCTAAGCGGTTTACAGAGTCAGCATATTGCCCCCAACAATCTGTCCTCATTTTACCCATATCAGAAGGATGGAAGGCTGAGTCAACCTTGAGCCTGGTAAGATTTGAACTGCCAAATTGCAGGCAGCTGGCAGGCAGCAGAAATAACCTGCAGTATTGCATTCTAATCACTGCGCCATCGTGGCTCATAAAATGGAATATATTTCTAAGGGGCTACAAAAGCTCTTGAAAATAGAAGACCTTGTCTTTGATTTGAGTTCATTCAGCTCAGATTGGATTTTCGCCTAAACTGCAAATAGCCTTTTGGGATATAGAAAACAGTTTTTTCCACTAAAGAACAATATCATTGGATTCCACGTAATAAAAATGAGGAATGTTTTGCAGTAATAATGATGTAAAATCATTGACTTTGCCAGACTGACAGGGCTGGTTCCCACAACTCAAGACATATGACAACCTCTCCAATTTGTCTTATACAAGGTCATTGCCTTGTCAGTCAAGCTCTCAATAAGATAATAAGTGTCCCACAGGACAAACCCAAGTTAACTGTGGTAAACCACAAAAAGATGATTCAATAACGGAATCAAAATGCAAAATAGATGCAGCATCTACCCACCCTACATGTACACATAAGCATTTTCACAGGAACATAGTGAATCCAGATTTGATGGTGCGTTCAAGTTTTTAATGTCATTTAAACATTGTTGAGAATTTTTTGTTTTAGAAAAGAACAATTTTTCCCCCAATTATACATGATAGATGTCACTAAGCTCCCATTGTTCATGGATTCCTTCTCCCTACCCTCCTTCTCTTTGGGGAATGAAGTGTGTCCCATCCGTTCTACTAAACAGTTTATACTCTTA